CAGTGGGAAGGGAAAAAATCATTTTAACAGGAACAACCAGAATCAGAGAGGGACAGCCATCTGCTGCCACCATTTGGTGGTGAGAGGGGGGAAGACAGGACAAAAGACACACTGTGGAGGAGAGCCAGAGATTAATAATAGCTAATTCTATCTCCAAAGTGAGTAAAGGAGCTGTGCACAGTTTGAGTAAGTGGCACATTTGTCCTCTGGGGTTTCATTTTGGTCTTACATATCCAAACTGTGTGGTTTTTTTGTGCACATCAGACAGCTGTGCTACACATGTATTCAGTTCCTACAGTGAGATAATTGGGAAAACATGGATTGTGCTCAGGAGTGATCCATCACAACTGTAGCTAAGTTTTAATTATTATTATTATTTCCTCGAGAGAATCATTATTCTTTAAAAGTGTTCAGTTACTGAAGGAATTTCAGTTTTGCACCATAAATGCAGTATCATTTGCAAAAGTGATATTGCTGTGAGTATGAAACCTATCTAATCATTTAAGTATATAAAAAAATAAGGCAACAGACAGGTGGTTAAGAAATCTATGTTCACCCTATAGGTTTACTTTAGATACTACTTTTGCTAAGATAGGTGCATTTTCTTTATATGCACACCTGGAATGTCAGAATTTCCGGAAAAAGAAAATACATTTTGATACTTTTCACCGGGCTTTACAGATTTCAATGTTCCTCATTTAAAAGGCTGTTTAACCAGAAAGCACTGTACATAAATACATTTTTTTTAAAAAACGCACCAAGAGAAAACAGGACTGAAAAATAACACATAAAATTTTAGTTGCAACAAATCTTCCCAGGAACAGTCTTTGCAACTCTGAGTATCCCAGAAGAAAAAAGTAACTACTTTAATAAACTCCTAGGCACTAAACTCAGTGGACAATGGCTCACTTTTCTCATAAACCATAAATCTCATAAATCCTAATTTAACCCCTGGATATACCATACATATCCTATCAAATAACAGTGACGACGTGAAAGCGATCACTTATAGTGATGCACATGTGGTTTGAAAACAACTTCAGATGAATGATAATGTTTGTCTCTGACTACTGGACACGTAATGGTAATTAATATTAGTTGACCTTAGGTTTAAATTAACATAGTTTTTTAAAGTTGCTGATCATCCGTGGATTAGAAAAAGAATAACTCGTAGTTGCCACACGGTCAAACATGTACACCTTTGGCCAGAGTTTCCAGTTCACCTGCCTTTGTCTTTTAACCTCTTAAGCCCCAACGCCCCCTGATACGGGGGCAAAAGGCAGGAGATCAGTTAGGCTTGGGGCTTAAGAGGTTAAACTGTGCGAGGAAGCTTGACCAGTGGGAAAACCATGTAAACAGACCATTGTGGTGCTTTATTACATTCGGTTGTTTTTGTTGTCTGTGCTTTCCAGGTGTCTAGTCATATCCAGGTTCTAGCTCGACGGAAGGCCAGGGAGATCCAGGTGAAGCTGAAGGTACGCTACGTGAGTCAAACTACTTTTATACATTCTCAAAATGCTTTTGACTATTCAAGATATTGTTATTATCACTATTACTGCTAGATTTGACTTCAGGCTATAATCAGACCAAAGTATCAGAACTGAGGTGCCGTTAATGCGGTGATATTAATTAGCTTGAGCAGTAACAGATGGAAAAGAGGTGAAAATATAATTACCCTATATTATTTTCTCTCATACTGAAGTTCCTTGCTTCGTTAAAAGCGCTGCCGTTCACATTCCATTAAAACAAATACACAAATGACCAGCTATCTTAATTGCACCCTCTAATTGGTGCCGGTTTTAAATGC